ATATTAATGTGTTATTCAACCAAGGAATAAAAATGAAATACTAGATAAGGACATTAATCACCATAAAAATAAAATATAATAAATCAGGGTACCACATTTGCCAAAGTAAGTAAAAATTAATTTCCTTGACTTCTAGGGAAGAGATGAGAAATTGAAGATTGCTGTGCTGAAAGTGGAACTGTTGACCACTGCAAAATAAAGAGACAATACGCATGCTAATTGACTCTTTGTGATTCCTTTCTAGACAAAGAGTGGACTTGGAATTGTCCTTAAGTGCTCCACACAGTTGGTCCTCACAAGGAAATTGCAATACAGTTTTGTCTGATGGGTTTAGAACTGTAGGATATGAGGGATACAGTTTTAGCCCAAATATGGTCACTGTCTTTATGGACACAGGGTTAGCATACTTCCTTTTCTAATCACATTTGGAAATTGCTTCTTAACAGCTTTTCAGCTATTAGGAATCTTTTGAAAGGCCAAATTTTAAAATACCAGATTAATTTCCTTCAATCCTTAGTGAAATAAGTTGTAAATCAATATTTAAAGACTTTAAAAAAATATTTTTTGAGGATGGGGTGGGAGGAGTAAAGAGCAAAAGGATGATTAAAATATTTATTTTGGAAACTTATAAATGCACTAACGGTACAAATGGATTTCAATTTAGACGTTGAAATTAATTATAAAAATCCTTCCTATGGGGAAAATACTGTTATTTTCGAATTCTTTAAAAGAAAAAACACCCTAAAATGGGATTTTGAACTTTGGCCACTAAAGGGTAGCAGATTACATAAAGAGTACATTTAAAGGAGAAAAACACTTAATTTTAACTAATACAGAACACAGGTCAATATATGTGAAAATGGACCAGAGGTTAACAATATTTGTCTTTATGGATAGACTATGTCTAAAAGATGTTATAGAAAAGAAAAGTTTTACTAAACAAGACTGAGGGAGATCTGAAGATGGATTTAAAAATGACAGGCTACAAGAATATATGGAAAAGATGTTGCATTGGATATACAAATGAGTAAACAGATCTGCAAACATCTAGAAACAAGGTTATAACTAGAAACCAGCATGAGTTTGTTCAAAACAGACTTTGCCAAACCAATCTTATTTCCTTCTTTGACAAAGTGACTAAATTAGTAGACCAGTGAAATACTGTGGACATAATATTATCAGAATTCAGTAAGGCATTCGACAGTAGAAGTAGACCACAAACTACTTCTTGGTAAACTAGAAAAATGTGAAATAGACAGCATCACCACCAGATAAATTTGTAACTGGCTGACAAACCGTATATACTCAATGAGTAATCCTTAATGGTACTACATCTACATGGAGGGAAGTAAGCAGGGTTCCATAAGGTTCTGTCTTAGGCCTAGTACTTTTCAATATCTTCATAAATGACTTAGATGAGGAAATAGAAGGGGAACTCTAAAATTTGCAAATTACACTAGGCTAGCAAGAATAGCCAACACTCCAGCAGTCAAGCTCAGGGTCCAAAAAGATCTTGATAGACTTGAACAATAGACCCTATCCAACAAAAGGAATTTAATGATGAGAAAAGCAAGGTTTTAGAATAGAATAGAATAACAGAGTTGGAAGGGACCTTGGAGGTCTTCTAGTCCAACCCCCTGCCCAGGAAGGAAACCCTACACCACTTCAGACAAATGGTTATGCAACATCTTGTTTAAAATTTCCAGTGTTGGGGCATTCACAACTTCTGCAGGCAAGTTGTTCCACTGATTAATTGTTCTAACTGTCAGGAAATTTCTCCTTAGTTCTAAGTTGCTTCTCTCCTTGATTAGTTTCCACTCATTGCTTCTTGTCCTACCCTCAGGTGCTTTGGAGAATAACTTCGCTCCCTCTTCTTTGTGGCAACCCCTGAGATATTGGAACACTGCTAGTCCTTCTCTTCATTAAACTAGACATACCCAGTTCCTGCAACCATTCATCATATGTTTTAGCCTCCAGTCCCCTAATCATCTTGGTTGTTCTTCTCTGCACTCTTTCTAGAGTCTTTGCACTATTTCTAGAGTTTTACACCTAGGTAGGAAAAACCAAAGGTACAAGTACATATTAGGTGAAACCTGGTTCAAAAACAGTAACTGTGAGAGAGACCTTAAAGTCCTCTAGGTGGACGATCACTTAAACATGAGACAGCAATGTACAGCAGCTAAGTATTACTAAAATTATACTTGTGATTGTTGGAAGAAACATCCTTCTGGGTTCTGCTCCAAGTGGGGAAAACAGACACTGGAAACATGGAGACTGCTTGGAAAGATGGTTTAATGGTGGACAGGATCACATGGCTTCAGTTCCTGAACAGAAAGGGGCAGATACAGTAAATCTTCGGGTTTTTATGCTCTCTCTGGCTCTGCATTTCTTGGGGCCCCAAAAGAGTATCCTGATTGGTTGTCAGACTCCCAGGGGGTGGGGGTCTTGCTGGCTGATGCAATCTTCCCAGGTGCCATGTGGTGAGCCTCGTCTAGATGGGTCCCATTGTGTTAGTTTCTGTTGCTATTGTGTTGCAAATGTCCTTTGACAAAGGATTGGGTTTCTGCCTCTGTCCCATTAACAAAGGGTGGGGGGCAGGAAGGTGGGAGCTGCTTCTCCCAGGGAACATGCTTCTCCCAGGGAAATATAATATTCTGCCTTTTTCATATTTCCTAAAATATTTCACTCTTCCAGGAGAGGGGTGGGTGCTAACTTCCTACATGATGAAGGGCGAAATCATTACTATATATAGCATTTTTTAATCTTTTTTGTATTTCTATTTTTCTTTTATGTTTTTCTTTTCTATTTTCTTTTTTTTCCCCTTCATCTTCTATTTTTATTTTTTTATATTTTTAATCTGTAATATTTTTTCTCTTTTTAATTGTAAAGGTAAATTAAATTAAATTTTAAAAAGAGCAATCAGTTTCCCAAAAGTAAGCTTTTGTAAGCCTTTGGACATTCCCATGTTGCTATAGGGTTTCTTCTACATATCTTAACATATAAGAAAATTCAATGGAAAGTATTGTGGATGATCTCTCAAATAGCTCTCCTGGAAACCAGCTCCATTTTCTTTTTCCTGTTCTGAAGTGTTTCTATTACACCTGTTCGAGATTAGAATTCTAATTAGAATTAGAATTAGAAGTTAAGAAGTGAACTTTGTTTTTTTCTCCTGTTTTTCTCTTTTCTTTTTCTGCCTCATGTTTCAGAAGCATAAGGATCAGGGATGAAATTCATCAGGTTCTGACAGATTCTGGAGAACCAGTAGCAGAAATTTTGAGTAGTTCAGAGAACCAGCAAAAACCACCTCTGGCTGGCCCCAGAGTGGGGTGGGAATGGAGATTTTGCAGTATCCTTCCCCTGCCACACCCACCAAGCCACACCCACAGAACCGGTAGTAAAAAAAATTGAATTTCACCACTGTTAAGGATCCATTTTGTGAGATAATCTTGATTGGAATAAAAATAAAATTCAATAATAAAAAATAAGATAAACTGTTGATTTTATGGAAGCATCCCTGTAGTTTCCTTAGTACCGATCTGGAAGCAGTTACAGTTGGCTTGTTCAGGGTTTTTTTTTTTAAATACCACACTATAAGCTACAGCTGAAATATTTCCTGGTGATTTTCTATCCAAATACTAACAATATCCAATCTTGGTTTACTATGTAAGTGGAGAAAACAGATCTTAATGTATTTGAAACTTTTGAAATTATTTCAAATTTTGAAGTTTCAGGGATTAATTCCCTGTACATTATGGATTTAACTGTACACTAAATTAGGGTTGGGCAACCTGGGATCCTTATATACTGTTGCAATCAATATGCTATGAGTCTTCCATGCTATCTTGTACATCTTATAGTGATAGAATTTTGAAAGACAATTAAATATCCTGAGTATAACCATATTTATGATATTAACATTAAATTAAATAGCATGTAGTTTTTGTCTGGCCCCTGCCTACTTTTTGGAATATGGTATAACCTATTATTATACATATCACTAAATCCAGAAAAGTGTGTGATTAACACACTTCAAGAGAAAAATCTTCCCAGACTAGTATTGTCAGATGCATTGAAATATACTTGGATGGCTGGGTATTGTAGTAATTATAAATCAATAAATCTGGAGACCAGGCGGAGAAATGATTTCAGCTGATTGTTTGGAAAAGGGTTTTTTTTTTCAAATGGGACTTGGTGGGTTTTCCATTCAGTCTCATTTGAGACTCAAGGGGAAAAAATGTAATGAAATGTCATCACAATATCTTTTACAAGATGTGGCAGAGGTTCAGTGCTGTCAATAAACACAATACAGGCAGTCCTTGACTTATGACCACAACTGAGACCAGAATTTCTACTGCAAAGCAAGGCAGTTATTAAGCTAATTACACCTGATTTTATTATCTTTTTTTGCCATGGTTGTTAAGCAAATCACTGCAGTTGTTAAATGATTCATGCAATTGTTAACTTGAGTTCCCATTGACTTTGTTTATTGGAAGCCAGCTGAAAAGATCGCAAGTGGCAATCACATGACCCCAGGACACTGCAAATATTTGGCCAGTGCCCAAATTTTGATCACATGGTTATGGGGATGCTATTACAGACATAAGAGCAAAGACTAGTCATAAGCTATTTTTTTCAGTGCACTTGTAACTTCAATTGTAAATAACTTGGAACTAAATTTGTGGATGATCTGTATAACAGATAAATAGAATTAAATATTAATAATTAAATATTGGAGTTGTAATTGCTTTTAATTTGATAGACAAAGCATTCTTTGCAATGTGTGGGGATGCTTATATATCTGCCCCATTAAAAACTCCTTAAAGTAGCTGCATCTTCTCCCAGGATTATACGGCTGTGTTTGATCATCATATTTTCTTGTAAGTCTGTATTAAAGACTCCTAAGAGTTGAGTCTTTCTCCATTAGCTTCTAAGTTGAAGCCCCTCTGAGTCTTGGCAGCAATTTTAACCATCATATTCTTTTTTGTTTCTCCTCTCAACAGTAGTTGCATCTAGCGATCAGCGTCAAATCCCTATAATTGCTGTATCTGTTACTGTGGGAGTGATTCTTTTGGCTGTTGTAATTGGTTTCCTTCTCAGCGGAAGGTAAGAAGAAAAAATTATATTGTTTGTACCTTTCAACCTTTCTCTGCCTTTCCCTTATCTAGCCAGACACTTTAGAACATGTTTCCTGGCCAGCCAGATCTATGACAATGTAATGTTCAACGCACCCCGATCAGCATCTAAAAAGCCACTTACAACAAGCACCATATAAATACCACACACAGAACAGCACACACTTCGCTAGAGAGAAGTTCCCTGAAGATGGGCTCCAGCAGAAATCCAAAACCTCGGAAGACAAAGCCTCTGGTCCTGGTGACTGATCCAAATTGGATCCTGCAATATAATGTTTAATGAAACTTTTGTTTTAGTGAGGAAATACTTTTGTCACTGTATTCTAAAGTGCTAATTTCTACAGTTCTCTTCTTACCAACTTTTAAGTGAACTTCCCATGCATTTCATAGCTACCATTACTGCTCTATTAAAATAATAATGGCATCTTTCTATGCTATAATGTGTATAGATCTATTTACTGTATTTTCCGGCGTATAAGATGACTTTTTAACACATGAAAATCTTCTCAAAAGTCGGGGATCATCTTATATGCTGGGTGTCATTCTCCTGTAACCAGGCAGACCAGCCCGAAAGGCTCTGACGAGCCAAGCTCTGACCATCCCAATTGATTGCCTGCTAATCAGGCAACTCAGCTTGGATCGTCAGAGCCATTTAAAAATCATTTTAAAAAACAAGCCATTTAAAATCCCCCCTCCTCCAGCTTGCTTACCTTAGCTGCTAGTTGCAACGTTTGCCTTGCTTCGCTTCCCTGCAATCCATTGCATCAGCAAGCAACTGAATCTCCCTGCTTGCAATCAAGCAGGCAGGGAGTTGTGGACTTCAACTCCCAGAATTCCTCAGCCAGCAAAGCAAAGCTGGCTGAGGAATTCTGGGAGTTGAAGTCTACAAGTCTTAAAGTTGCCAAGGTTGGAGACCCCTGTTCTATTGGGTAAGTTTTTTTCCCCTTTGGGAGCTTTAAAAAAAATAGTTAATTGGGTTTTTTTTAAGTTGCTCTTTTTTTAGACCTAGCCATTTAAAGTTTAGGAAGTTTTAAATTTAGCTGCTTTCATATAAAAATAAAAATAAAATAAAATAAAATAATATTTGTGCAGCTTTCTGAGATTTAGTGTGTTTCTGTAGTGTTTCACTCTAACTACACAAACACACAAAATCTCACAAAGATGTATGTGGAATTTTGTGTGTGTAAAGTGTGAAAGTTGGGTTTTTGGGCTTTTTGTGGCTGTGTGAGGTTCCTGCTTGTTTCAGGGGCCATTTTGGGTCTAGCACAGCTGCTTTTACATTGTGGGTGAGCGTGTTGTGTTGTCTTGTGTAAAGTGCCAGGGACTTGCCCAGCACTTGCTCTCTCTCTATTGTTTGTTATCTTCCTCCTATCATCATCAGTTCCAGTTTGGTTGACAGCTTAGAAAACAAACAGCATGACAGCTCCCATGGGTTTATTGTTTTATCCTTCCTTTCAGCTTTAGAGTGAATTAGGAAAAGTTTAATCCAATTGCACTGTTTTATGTTTACATGTTTAATGACAAACAGCCTTATGTTTATAAGTGACAGGTTTCCTGCTAAGTACCTGCATGTCATAAGCATTTGAATTAAAATTACCATATGGAAATCAAATCAAAGAAGAGGGGTAGTCTTATACGGCGAGTATAGCCCAAACCCTATATTTTAACAGGAAAAGTCGGGGGTTGTCTTATACGCCCAGTCGTCTTATATGCCAGAAAATACGGTATGTATGTATGTTATTTTTTTCTCCTTACATTTTTTTAATTTTAAGTTTTCCATAACAGGCGGTGTGGCTATAGCAAAGCTAAACAAGATCCTGAAGAAGAAAAAATGCACTTTCATAATGGCCACAGTAAGTAAAATTCATTGAATGTGCTGAATAACAATCCTGCAAAAGCTGTTTTTTGTTTTGTTTTGTTTTGTTGCTGGTCTTTACAATGCACAGTATATAGTTTAATATTTATGTGACACAATTTATGGAGATGGCAGAAGAATAGATATCCTGAGCATCCAGTATAGTAAATCTCTGCTTCACATACTCCAGTTTAGGAATGGAGAGAGAACCAGCATCATATCCCCACTCTGAAGAACTCCTGGTTTATTTGATTTGTTGGGGTTTTTTTCTGTATTATTTGTCTTTCTGAAATGGGTACAAAAGCTGCTGAAAAATGCTGAACTGCTGATAAAAATCTGTCTCATTATCTAAGTACCTAATACGTAGACTTATTTCTATTATTACAGATATACTGCAAATAACTCTTAATTCCAATTTATGGCTTAATTTCCAATTTATAATTTATTACAATTTAAGTTATTACTGAAACATATATTTGAAGTATATGTTTTACAGATTTTCTTTCAGTATATGGAAGACTAATAACCACATTTCTGAAGCAAGAAGTATAGTAGGGTTTATCTTGAAAATCATAGTTCCTTCTATAAATAAAAAAGGGAGAAAACAAACATTTTTCTTAAGTACAGCCTAATATCTGCAGTTTTTATGAAAAATATTCCCTAAAAAAGTAGAACTGCCTAATTAATTGTAATATGTTTCAGTCATCTAATTTTCTTTAAACCCAATTGACCTGCATTATTGATTAAAATTTTTAGACCATCTGGTTTTTTAAAGTCATGGGTTTATGGTGGTAGCTCAGAAACACTCCTTTCTGACAATGATATGAAATACTCATATATACATTTTCATTAGTACTGAGATATATGTATTTACTATTATCATATTTATATGGTAGTTTTAGTTAGGTAAAATGTTAAGCTGTTACACTCATCACTATAAAAATCTTGTTATTCTAGATGCTATTTCACTTAATCTGGCACCTAGATAATTTGGATAGATATTGTACATATGGAGATGCTCTTCTAGATAATCTGAACCACTGCCATGAATATTTTTGCAAAGACTTTGGACCTGGATTCAAATCAGCACTTAATATTCATGAAATTATTACAATAATAAATGTTACTACTGTCACTAGAATAATTTGATCATGTCAGCCAATACTCGCTAAGAATTTAGTTGAAGTTTAGGCTCTCAAAACATCTTGATAAGTTGCATGATTACAGGAAAGGGGATATGGTCTGCTATTATCTTTTTCTGATTCAAATACTTTAAGAATTTTATTATTTCTTTTAGAGGTTTTTACCATTGGTTTACATTGTTACGACAGGGTGATTATGCTTTTGAAAGTTGTTGTTTCATTTTAATTTACTTGCATACTGTAAAGAGAAATATAATAAGTAATTTTATACACAGTTAAACTACCAGGAGTAAAGACCTATATTGATCCACATACCTACGAAGACCCTAATCAAGCTGTTCATGAATTTGCCAAAGAAATAGAAGTGTCATACATATCAATTGAGAGAGTTATTGGAGCTGGTAAGAAACTCTAAATGCTGTTTATCTCTCTTTTGCATCTATTAGGATGATTGTTGGACTGCATTAACAAATATTCAATGCAAATGGATTGCCAATAAATGAATTGAAAATAAATTATATTTTATATCCGTCACATAAAATTATTATTTATGTAAGCAGAATTAAGCTTTCTATAGATAAAATGATTCACTAAAGAGCTTTATGTATGATGATGATTAATCAATATTAGTTTAACATAAAGTAAAAATGTGATCATCTCTCAGGAGCAATACAGTTTCTATTCATAAATAGAAATCTGGCTCAAGTCTTCATTTAATGACAAAGTTCCTTGGATAACTTGGATTGTCTCTTGGAGCTCAGTCACCTTCAAAAAGAATTATGGTTGACTTGGAATAAAAATGCAGTCAATGAGTAAATGTTGTATCGGTCCTTCTCTTTGAAAAAAAAACCCTGAAATATTAATAAATATTTTAGATTTATGTGCATTATCACATTTTAGTTTTAATTCTTTTAATTGGGGGGTAATTTTTTTTTTTGTAGGTGAATTTGGTGAAGTATGCAGTGGGCGCTTGAAACTTCCTGGGAAATGTGAATTGCCAGTGGCCATTAAAACCCTGAAAGTGGGCTACACTGAGAAACAAAGACGGGATTTCTTGGGAGAAGCAAGCATAATGGGGCAGTTTGATCATGCCAACATTATACACCTGGAAGGCGTGGTAACAAAGAGTATGTACCTAATGCTAATGAACGTTTCATTATCTTTGCTTATACAAAGTGCGGGGTGGATCTTGTTGCTGAGTTTGAGGTGAAGTGTGACGAGATCTTTATCGATTCAGTCTAGGAGGAATCTTTTTGTGTGAAGTTCATTTCTGATTAGGGCCAATTCTGTTCTTTTCAGGATGCGTTTTGTGGCTGCAGAGTTGGAGTGGAATTTCAATTGGAAGCATGTGGGGATTAAATTTTGATTTAATTTAGTAGGAATGTTGCGTAGTTGCGTAGGAATGTGAGGTCACATAAAATGGAAGCTCTTTGGACTTCGAGTTTTTCATATATAACTATATAATTATTTGATATATAACTATTCTAAAAATACGAGTTCCAGGTATATTAGTAAAAAAAGAAGCAGATATACTGCGAACTCCAGAATTTAAGATTTTAAAATTTTAAAAGAATTAAAATTTTATTTTACTAAGCTTTCGTCAGTTATCTGCTGACATTGTCAGAGTATTAAACTGCCATTACAGAGATCTCTACCTTTATATGCCATTAATCAATTTAGCCCTTGCAGGTGTAATAGGCCCTTCCAGCCATCTCCCACTTGTAATCAGCTATGTTGTTTTTGCTGTCATCATGCTGGATGATGGAGGCTTGATTCCTACTATTTCCTCCCTCCTATCTTGCTTATCAGTAGGGGGTGATGTTAACCTGTCAGCTATTGCAATTTGCTGCCTTGTCTGTGACCTCATGGTCAGCCAGGTTTGTTTCTCATTAATTCTATCTGTTGCAGTTTGAGACAGGTTGCCGGGTTGCTCTGTGTTTAGTCAGGACTAACTGCGTTCACAGGCTGAATCTGCATGCCCAGAGGTGGGGGGTATCTCTGCTCACTGATGGAAAGCCATCTCTGCTCCTCCTTCAGGGTCTTTCCGGGTGCCTCAAAGCCTGGTAGACCGGTGGCAGTTCGATATGCCTGTTGTTAGAATTGTTATTGGAGAACCAGGCTTCTTTTAGTAGGCATCCTCCTTTAGTCTTATCATGGGCAATAACCTCAGCCTCTTGAAAATCAAATGTGTGGTTGTGCTCCTTCATATGTATCCAGATCTGGGAGCGCTGTTCCTTGCATTGGACAGCCAGTTCGTGTTCGTGTATTCTTGGCCATTTCCCCTACGTAATTGCTTGCACAATTACTACAGTTGATGCAGTAAACTACTGAAGGTGTCTCCTCCTCGGATAATGCTTCCTTTGGGTGCATCACTCTCATTTTCAATGTTTGGTCCGGCTTATGCACCACTTTGACTCCACGTGCCGAGAGGATGTGTGCAGCAGTTTCGGATACCCCCTGTACATATGGGAATACCCTCCATGCAGCAGTTCCACTGGCACCTTCAGTAGGCTGCCGAACCTAGAAAAATCTGATCACAAACCCAAACTCTGGCTCAGATACGTAGACGACACTTTCATAATCTTCATAATGGGAAAGAAAGAAAAACTGGACAACTTCCCTCACACACCTCAACAGCCTACACCCCAGAATACAATTTACCATGGAAACAGAAGTGAACAACCAACTTCCCTTCCTGGATGTCTTAGTCTACAAAAAATCCAATGGCTCCCTAGGACACACCATCTACCAGAAGAAAACACACACAAACCGCTATCTGCACGCACTCTCACACCACCACCCAGCACAGATCAACTCTGTAGCCAAGACACTCATCTCCAGAACAAAACGCTTAGCTGACGAACAACACCTAAAAACCAAACTACACACTCTCACTAACGTACTAACATCCAATGGATTCCAAAGAAATAAGATTACCAACCTAATCCAAAAAGAAACCCCCACTAAAATCCAAGCCAGAGAACAAGAAAACGGCAAAGCCTCCTCCCATACATAAAAGGCACCACAGACAGAATCAGCAAGATCCTCCACAAACACAACATCAAGACAGCATTCTGCACAAACCGAAAAATATCCACCATCCTAAGAAACCCCAAAGACAAAATTGAGTTAGAAAATCAAGGAGTATATGAAATCCCATGCACCGCCTGCCCCACCACATACATCGGACAAACCAACAGAAGAATAAGTGCACGCATTGAAGAACACAAGAACTCAGTCAGAAAAGAGGAACCAACTTCTTCCCTGGTCCAACACCTCAAAGCCACAGGACATGATATTGACTTTAAAAAGACCAGAACTATCACCAAAACTGAACACTTTAACAACAGAATAATCAGAGAAGCCATCGAGATAGAAAAACATCCACACAGCATGAATAAACGAGATGATACCTCCCGCCTACCACCCATTTGGAAACCCGCCCTTATTGACAAACGAGTCCCTAACACAAAGAATGACACCAGACCCACACTCATGAGAGCCACACAGGAGGTAACCACCACACATCCACGCAGAAAGCAGACTCAAACCCACACTGATGATGAGGCACGACCGCGGACCAGAAGCCAGACCACAGCTGCATCATTAGCCCCTTTAAACCCCTCCAATCCATACATGAAGCAAACTGACACCCACCATGAAGAGATAGCACGGCCACGAACACGAAGCCAAACAACAGCAACACAGCTCACCAGCTCAAATCCCCCTGCTACTCAGACTAACCCGAGCACAACCAAGCCCCACCTAAACAGAACACACCCCCATCCAATCAGAGCACAGCCAAACCCCCATCCAATCAGAGCACAGCCAAACCCCCAACTAATCAGAACACACCTCCACCCAATCAGAACACAGCCAAGCTCCCACCCAATCAGTTCACACCCCCACTGGCAGTTAAAAGGAAGAAACAGCTGTGATCACACACATTGCTCCTAGAAGCACGAAGCCGAAGACACCAGCCTGAAGATGACGAATGAGACTTCATTGAAATGTTGCCAAGAAACCTCCAATTTTACGCGGGAGAAAACCCGAATAACCAAAGACATATATATATGTATGTGTATCAATTTTCTTACTTCTTCGTAGGGTTTATGTGTGTTTTTCTTCTAGCCAGGTTTTCCCTACGTAGCCAAGGTTTTTTTGTAGCTCCAGCTCAGTAGAATCTCATCTACTCGGTTCTGGGCTTTTTTCTTTTCTAACACCTAGCAAGCTCTCACTGCTAGGTGGGAGACCTAAATAGATCCATTTCTAGCTCGTTAGCTGTCATCAGTAGGCCACACCCATATCCTCCCTGTATTAAATTTAAATCAAGTCTTTTTACTAATGATTTAAATCATGATTTAAATCATGATTTAAATCAACTCAATTTAAATCAAATCCACCCTGATGTCAGTTAAACTAAATGGGATTTTATGCATGGCTTGTTTTATATATTTTTGCATGCATAAACGATAAGTGAGACTTTACAATTGTACAGAAGCATTTGCTACATAGGCAAATTTTGTCTACTATCCAAAACTTGATAAAACTAAACCTGGTAAATCGGGGATTTATTGTTATAGAGGGATAAATGTGGATTGAACACCAAACAAATGTCATTAGGAAATAGCAGCAAATTGTGCTCTCCAGATAAATGTGTGTATCATACATAAGTTTGCAAGTATGTTTTTATACATACAGATAGTCCTTGACTTAGGATGGATCATTCAGTGACCATTTGAAGTTATGGCATATATCCCCAAAAATATTTATGACTCAGTTTTAAATTACAGCTACTATAGCTCCCCCAGGATCATTCACCTTGACTGTAGGGCATTCAATGCCTCCTGCCCATTCTTCCCATCCTCCCCTGCCTGTTTTGTCACCTCACAGGGTCCCACCTTAGCCCACAATCACTCATATACCTCTCAAAATGTCCAGAGCCTAGGAGATCAGGATAGGGAAGAACAACAGGATGTTCTGTTGCTGAATTACATGACAAACCACAAGCAGACATTGTTTTCTTAGCGAAAAATAATGCTGGCACAACTTTTCCTTGCTAATGCTAGCCATAGCCTTGCCAGCATTAGCTTTGCTTGTGTTATGCCATCAAAGCTATAGCTTGCAGAGTTAAGAATAGCCTTAACAAAGAAAAGGAATCCTCTGTTTCCTTTTCCTCTAACTAACTTCACTAACACTAGTGAAGCTAACACTGGTAGAACTATGACTAACATTAGCAAGGGGAAAAAACCAGAGTGAAAAATAACGCTGGCAAAGCTCTCAGTTTGCTTGTGGGATTGTACCATGGGGCCCAGCAATGGAACAGCCTATTCTCCTTCCCTATCTCCTGAGTTCTGGAGATCTTCAAAATGTGTCCTGTGGGAACCTCAAGGAATGGGAAGAGGGAGGAGCATGGGGTATCTCAGGGGGGTTGAGGGGAGCCCTGGAGGCCAGAGGCAGTTGTGCTTGTGCCAAGGTTTACAAGGGAATCCCCACTCCTGAAGCATCCCGTGTTCCACTTAATGAACCACACATTCATTTAATGATTGCAGTGCGGAGAGCAGGAATGGGGGATTAGTAAGTGAGGAAGTTAACTTAATGGGCATCCTGATTTCTAACCACAATGGGCAGGCTGCATTTCAATTGAAACTTGGGGACAGCCTGTATTATAGTTCTAAGTGAGTGTTTGCCATCTTATACACATCTCCTCTGTTATATATAAGCAGCGTAAAAAAGTTAAACTTTATGTTATATATACAAAAGCACATTAGTCATCTGCTGTTCCAGTAGCTACAGGTGATGGGCTTTTAATCTACTTTATCCAGGTAAACCAGTCATGATTGTAACAGAATATATGGAGAATGGATCCTTGGATACATTTTTAAAGGTAAGCTTTAAATGTATATGCATGCCAGGTATTAATCTCCCATTTTATAGTTTTCTTCCTGAAGAAATGTGGTTTTCTTAAACAAAAATCTTTTTCAGGTTAACCTCAAATCCTACTGATTTCGTAGATGTGTTCATCATGCAGTTTTCTTAGCGACTTGAGTAATTCAGTATTGCCTACTAAAATGTTTTTGATTTTTCTGGTAATAGCCCTGGTTTTTTAAATTCAGTAATACCTCCTATACAGTATGTTGACATACATAGGGAAGAAACTGAAGTGCTGTAGTAGAGACAATGTTTATGACTACATAATATCGGCATTTAACCATAAGTACCATTCAGTTGGAGTTAATTATGTCTTTTTCCATCAATTATTTTCTTGAATTGCAGTCTCAATTTTCAAGCCTGTTATTAACAATGCTGGTTCACAATCTGGAACCTAGTTCTGAAGTGCCGGTGGAAACAGAACTCCAGGGGAGTTGTTTAATTCAGTAAAAACAATCTTGAACAGTTTTAAATTTCAAAGTATTTATCATGGAACACAACAGTACAGGATTTTTCTCATTCACATATTTACTTCAAAAGTCCCTGGTTGTTTATAGTAAATTAAACCTTGCTTTTATATCTTCTGCTTGAACATGGCACTAAAAAAAATAATAACTGTAATTTTTTGTTAAACATTTTAATTGTTTCTTGGTGTTAGAATTGAGCTTATGAGTTAGAACTAGCATAGTTTTTCCAGCATAGTATAATAGGTTCTGAATGTCTGGTGCCAGTTAAAACTCGAATTACTGCTTTGTGCACAAACTAGTTTTGGGATAGCTTCTTCTTTCCCCACCCTAAATAATATTGAGAACAATATTAATTCTGAAGGAACTATTCCTCCTTATCAAGGACATCTTGTAATAAAAACTTCACTATGGTTCACACCACTTCATATTCTGTTCTTTTTAAAATATCAAGTATAATTTTTGAGACTGTACAGTTTTTCCACTGCTTGCTTTTTAAAAAATATTTTTGAAACAAAGAAATTTAGGTTGATATGATGCCTCACAGATAGTTGTCTCAACAAATTCTGTCACACTACCACTTACATTGCCATTCCTGATTCTGCTTCAACATCTTTCAAGTTACTGTTTTTCCTGCTTCAATGTCTTTCAAGTTATTGTTTTACCCCCATAATTACATTCCCTCCCTCCGTCTCCCCCTCCCCCCCCCTCCTCCTCCTCCTCCTCCTCTTCTTCTTCTTCTTCTTCTTCTTCTTCTTCTTCTTCTTCTTCTTCTCTCTATCTCTCTCTCTCTCGTAATAATGTTTACTATTTTATTTTATTATTTCCATTTCCCACTTTTGGAGATATTTGTGCTGTCATTTTAACTACCAATATATCAACATTTGTTGTTGAGATCTAATCTGCAAAAAAAATTGTCCCAAAAGTAAATGATTCAGATTTAGAACAAAACAACAAGGATTTCAATAATACATATATTTGCTCAAAAAGTGTTGTGCTGGTAAAAGGCAAGAACAACCAAGAACATGTCTACATGATAAGTCTGTATCAATGAAAAGCAGCTCTAGACTTCTTTTAAAGATGGAATTCTACACTGTATTGTTTTCCCAATTCAGCAGTAATAGCTGAAACTATAATGAGGTTAAGATTTATATACTGTATGTTTGTTTTTGTGCTGTGGATCTATTTCCCCATTCGAGGAAATTCTTAACTCATCTTTCTTGTCAATTCCCAGTTTTCATGCCTTGTAAGAAAAATGTTAGCAACTTTACTACTTTTTAGGATTCTATGACTTTCCCGAACCCTAACCCCAGACAAAGTAGAAGGATCAGTTTCCCCATTTTGTTTAGCAGAGGACAAGCTAATGTACCAAACTCCAGGCTAGTGGATATATTTGTTTTCTTTCCCATTTGAGTGGAATGAGAAGTAGATAATATGTGTTATTGCAGAATTTGCAAAAATTAGGGATAGACAGGCGATTTTTTTTCCTGTTTTTCCTGTGTTCCAGATTAACAGAAGACATAATAACTGTAATGGGTTTCAAATCCTGGAAAAACACTATATCAGTTTATAAAATATAGCAATTTCAGAATATCTTGTTGTTCCTTCTTTTTTTGGGAAGTGGATAGCTGCTCCCCTATTGCATGAATTGAAAGTAGATACAGAAATTGACATCCTAAAGAACTAAATAAACAGGGTACAGAAGTAAATATATTCAGTTGCCAAGGTTTTTTGAAGCTTTAACCTCTATTTCACTTTCAATTGATCAATTAAATTCTATCAGAACCTGGGTTTCTTGCTGGTTAATGGCTGTAAAAGTCTTGATAACAATCATAAATTTCTTACGTTGTTAAGATCTGAAGGGGATTTGGAAATATATTATGAAAATATATTGTGATATTTCCGCATTTCCTTTTCCTTTGTCGGAATCAAGATTTAGTCATTTGTTTCTGTAATTTTGTAATTCTATACTTTTTACAGAAGAATGATGGGCACTTTACTGTAATTCAGTTGGTTGGTATGCTCCGAGGAATAGCATCTGGGATGAAGTATTTGTCTGACATGGGATATGTACATAGAGACTTGGCTGCCAGAAATATCCTAATCAACAGTAATTTAATGTGTAAAGTGTCAGACTTTGGGCTGTCTCGAATTCTTGAAGATGATCCTGAAGCTGCTTACACAACAAGAGTAAGTTTCTTGTGAACATTTATTTATTGCAGAACCAAAGTAGGGGAACTAACTTGGTGATGTCCCAGTACTGTATCTGATAACATGTCATCAATGAACGTCAGTAAATAAATTCCCAGCCATGACTCTATCTTACGTTCTCACTGAGAGCAGCCATTTGTTTAACATTTTCCTATTTTTATCATATGTCTTATTAAACAATAGTTGAATTACGTACCAATATTTCTTTCTAAGACTGAGCATACACAGAAATATTTATGGGCTTGGACTTTAACATATCCTTTTTTCCTTACAATTTGAATTCAGAATTTGGTTATCATGACAGATTTTCTTTGCAGGTTCACAGTATAGCTTTGACCTCAAGACTGTGGTGTTTTGTGTGTATTTTTTAAATATATAGTTAACAACCCGGGAACTGTGTTGACTGCATGCTTGTTTGTATTTTCCTTCACCAACTATGATGACCCAACTGTATCTTTTTATACAAATTCAAACAGGCCTTTAGTACCACCAATTAATATATCTGAAGGTATGGAAAGGATGTAATAATGTAGAAGAAGATGTTCCAAACATTAGAAAAAGCTTGTCTACTTATTTTCTCTAGAAAATCCTTGACACATCAAGAAAACTTAATTGAGATAATATATATATATATATATTATTTCTAGGGAGGGAAAATCCCAATCCGATGGACAGCTCCTGAAGCTATAGCCTTCCGCAAATTTACCTCTGCCAGTGATGTCTGGAGCTATGGGATTGTGATGTGGGAAGTAGTGTCCTATGGAGAGAGACCCTACTGGGAGATGACCAATCAAGATGTAAATATTTCCTTTTTCTTCTCTATGTGAAAACATGTTAGTCATCAAATCAGGATGTCACATATATTAATTTTTTTTTTAATTTTAAAGGCTAAATGTACAGTTACAAGTAATGTCTAAAGAGTTCATTCTGAAAATAGTATGGAATGTTCAAATGAGTGAAATGGAGAAGAGAAGTAAGATTAATGGATAAAAAGATAAGGTTCTTGTATCAGGCACAGCAGCTCATCTTGTGCTTTGTTTCAATTTGAAATTCTGAGTGATGAACATGAGATTAACCTACTATGAGCCCCTAGGCTATCAAACAAAATTTGACCAAAACTGACTTGGAGCATCAGTTTATCAGAATCATATCATAATGCAAGTAGACAGCCTTAGAAATACAGAACATGGAACAGCTCCCAATCCAAATCTGGGCTGGCATCACTACTTGAATCCACATGCAACTGCCTGTGATGCACTGCTGGTATCTCCCTGTAGAAAAACAAAGATCTGTTCCTGATACTCTGAGCAAGCATGGATAGCTGATTCTGCTATTTGATATTTCTAATACTTTCCTGGAATTGTGCTCTTTTGGGAATAATTGTGATATTGAAATTGGAAAAGTTCTTGTAGTCTTGCCGCTATTGTTGTTATTGCCAGACAACTTCAAAATCTTGCTGCTGGATAAGGGGTCATCCAGAGACCATTTCATTCAGATACTTATCAAATCTGACATGGAGTGTATAATGTTTTTGAGAAGTTTTTATTTATACAACATTTTATTTTTCCTGGGAATAATAACTGTTGAAACAGAATGTTTGTTTGTTTACTTTAGTTTCAAGTCTCAATCCTTTGTATTTAGAATTGAGGAGTCATCAGACCCTGACTGTCTTTGTCTGGTTGGTCTTTGACAGGGCATTTACTTCAGATGCAATGTCTTGATGTCCGTAGAAATGAACCATGGGGAGATGTTTACTCATCTATATCTCTATAGGGATTTACTTTTTAACTAACCAGATTGGAAATAGTATGCATACAGTGATAGCATATTATTTGAATATATATTTTAGAAAATCACCAGGTTGACTACATAGGAAATCAATATGCAGGAAGTTGCAAATATTTATAAAGATTTCACACATCTGAGCTAGCCCAGCAAAGCAACAGCTGTGGGGTTTTTTTTTAATAGAAAACACTCCCACTTTATCATTTTAATCTTTTTTTGTTGCCAAGCCTTCCATTTCAGTAGCACAAACATAATTTGCAATAAAGTAAAACAATAAGGCCAAGAAAAATTCCCTTGGAAGAGATACTGTTATCCCATGAATAATTCTTAATACAGGGTCCACCAGTATTATTTTTAGGGATGAAGGACTGCCGTGGAATGAATACTTTTTTATTACTCACTTTTAAATCAGCACCCTGTGACAGCCCTATAGGAATTGGAAGCCTGGTATTATATTTCCCCTTAACTTTTTCTTCTTTGAGGTAAAAATGTCAGTCTCTTACCTATTCTTCATAACGTTTAGCTTCAAGCTAAATCATTCATTTATCTCTGCACTCTTTCCAGTTCCTCAGCATCCTTTTCATATTGTGCTAACCAAAATTGGACAAAGTATTCCAATTGCAGTGCGATCAAATACGTGCAGCATAGATCAGAACAATCAACAGGATCTAGTTGCATGATGGCGAACCTATGGCACACATGCCACAAGTGGCATGCAGCCCTCTCTATTGGCACGCAAGCCGTCACCCCAGTTCAGCTCTGCCATGCAGGCGCAGCTGCCTCCCACCAGCCAGCTGGTTGTTTGGTATCTGCTGCGCATGCGTGGGGGGCAGGAAGCATGGGGGGCTGTGCGTGTATGTGTGGGAGGTGGGTGCATGTGGGGGCCATGCATGCACAGGGGACAGGGCACATGCCAGGGACTGCACACGCATGCATGTGGTGGGATGCATGTACAGGGGCCGCGCACACATTGTATTTTGGAGGTTTTTGCGCACATGCACGTTTTGGGCACTCAGTCTGGAAAAGGTTAGCCATCAACTGATCTAGTTCTTTTGGCAGCCACAACATGCTGCTGACTCATACTTGATCTGTAACTCACCAGGACATCCAAATCTTTCTCACATGAACTACAACTAAACAAGATGCCATCTTTCTTGTACTTGTCCATCTTATTCCTTTTACATATGTGGAATCTTATATGGCCCAATATCTCTACCAAGATCCATTGAAACCCGAGAGTGTCTTCTAGGGTATTAACAATCCTCCCAATTTTATGTCATCTGAAAATTTGATAAGCGTACCTTCTTTATAATCTTTCTCTAAATCATTTATAAAAATGTTTAAAATGTTATAAAAATGTACAAAGATGTTTCCATGTATGTATAAGCTTTCAGAATATTTTTCCATATTCTAGCACTTTGTTTTTCCATATTCTAGCACTTTATTTTCCTTTTCCTTTCTCTAAATAAATACATCTCATCCTATAATTACACTTATTTCAATTTAATCAATCAGAATAGAGCTCAAAGGGATCTTGAAGGTCTTCTAATCCAACCCCTGCTCAAGCAGGAGACAGTATACCAGTGATGGCTAACCTTTTCCGGACTGAGTGTCCAAAGTGCATGTGCTCAAACCCCCAAAATACAATGTGCACACAGCCCCCGCGCATGTATGCACAGCCCCATGCATGCACCATGCTCCCGTACATGCCCTCCGTATGCACCTGCAGCCCCCTGCATATGCCCTGCCCCCGTGCATGCACATGCACCCCTGCACGCATCCCTCCCACATATGTGTGCATGCACCCCATGCATGCACCCCACGCATGCAAGACAAAGACCTGACGACCAGCTGGCTGGTGGGAGGTGCATGTGCATGCACAGCGGAGCTGATCTGGGGTGACGGCTTGCATGCCCACAGAGCGGATGCTACGTGCCACTGTGGCACGCATACCCTAGGTTCATCATCGTATCATTTCAGATAGGTGGTTGTCCAGTCTTTTTTTAAAAAAGCTCCAGTGATGAATCACCTACAACTTTTGAAGGTAAGCTGTTCCATTGGTTAATTGTCCTTACTGTTAGGAAATTTCTTCTTAATTCCAAGTTGCTTCTCTCCTTGAATAATTTCCATCCATTGTTTCTTGTCTTGCCTTGCCTTCTGGTGCTTTGAAAATAAGTTGACCCCTTCTTTTTTTTTTGGCAGCCCCTCAAATACTGGAATACTGCTATCTTGTAACCCCTAGCCCTTCTTTTCTCTAGACTGGCCATGTTTCAATGCTTGGTCTTCAAGCTTATCTTTTAATCATCTTAGTTGCTCTTCTTTGCATTTTTTCCAAAGTCTCAACATTTTTTTTTGTAATATGGTGACCACAACTGGATGCAGTATATTCCAGGTGTAATCTTACTAAGGATTTATAAAAACGGTACTAATAGTTCATGTAATTTTGATTCTATGCCTCTGTTTATACAACCAAGGATTGTATTAGCTTTTTTGGTTGCTGCCATACATTGCTGACTCATTGCAGATTCGGGTTATCTGCTGATATTCTGCCTTAGTTATGTGGCCCTCTTTCCATTTTTTGTATTAGTCCTTTTTGTTTGTTTGTTTGTTTCAGTTTATCAGATCTTTGTTCAACCATACTGGTTTCTTCTTGGATTTCTTTTTTTTTTTTTTCAGTGGTATTGTTATGATCATATTTTTCAGTGTTTCCCACATTTCTTGAGTTGTTTTCCCATTAAGAAAAGTTACCTTTTCTTTTTATGTAGTGTTGTTTATATTGATATATATGTGTTTTGTGTATACAGGGTGTAGTATTTTGCTTTTATATGTTTAATAAAGTTTGTTTTTAATTTTTTTTTTAAAAAAAAGTTTTTTATCCATGGAATTTTTCTTAGGGTCTCTCTGAGTTTGTTAAAATCAGCTCTTTTAAAGTTTAAGACACTGTTTGGATTATATTCTATTGCTTGTGTTTGTATTATATTGAATTGCAATATGACATGGTTTATATTCTGCTATTCTGTTCCATGTTCCATATTATCCTTCTTGAATTATAAGGTGTCAAGAAGAAAATCATGTAGATTAGGGTTGTATAACTTTGAAGGAATGAGTCAAAGGAAATTTGACTTAAACTATATCTTTGAATTGAATTTGTGAGGCAGTTTGGGAAACTAAATTGAATTTACTACTTTAGAACTGTTTTGGGATAATGGATTGTTTTCTAATTTGGCTGAGTCTTCCAATATTGTTGCAATTTTCTTTTCCTATACTGTATAAACAAACCTGAAGGGTAATGAATAGTGTGATATACTCTGTGATATAGACATTAGTAGTAGGTCAGTAAATGTTATTGTTTCTGTGAAAAATAGTTAGGAATATTTGGCTGCAATAATAAAAAATTCTAGGAGTTGGCTGTGGTCTTGAAAAAGTTAGCAACCTGATAGGCTGGAGTCAGATATAAGCTGAGGCAAGCAGGGGAGTGTTGACTGTTTCTAACTGAGTTCTGAAAGAACAGTTTTAAGGTATTGCAGAAATTGTGGCTTTTTGTTTGTTCATATGTTTTTCTTTGATGAGAAAAAAATATTTAATTCTTTAACTCTATTCTCTTTAGCAAGAAATTAACAAGTGAAGTTAGAAAATCTTTTAAGAAGGACAAAGAATTAAGCAATAAAAAAGGAAAAGGAACTCAGCAAAGAATCTGAATCATGAATATATTAGTTTTGAAAAACTTGCAAGTTCTATCACACAAAGACCTGCATTAACATCCTTCCATACTATTCCCAGAAGAGACCAACCAATGACCTATGTCAAGAAGCTTGATAGCCTAAAAAACAAAAACCTAGCAGTATGAGGGTAGTAGACTTTCAGGCATTGATAAGTGTTTACTTTTTAAACAATTTTGAAAGTTTTACATTCAAATTGCAGCAGAACATTTTCTACATGAATTCAACACTATGCAGGGAAGAAATATAACTTGGAATTTCCTCATTTCTTTTGTCTTCAAAGAGGTGCAGGGCAAGAAATGCTTTTCTTTCATCATTTAATTCCAAGTAAAATTTTTATGAATTCAGATAATCTCAATAGCCAATTATACAGTAAAAGAGTTTATCTGTAGATCCTCCAGTATCTTCTTTTCAAATGCTTCCAATCACCCTTCAGTATGTCTCCACAGCCACTGCCAACATTCTATCGATTTATCATCAAGGTCTTAAGTACTAGCTGTGCATGCACTGTTACATGGTAATGTTTGTGATCAATTTTTCCTTCTCATAGAAAAGTTCTCTGTCATTATGCGATTCAAATTACATTCCCTCACAGTTTAAAAAAAAAACAACTGAAGATATGGCCACTACTCTTTTAGTGTCATGTATATTTTGACCATTTCAATTCCATAAATTTATTTACAAAAACTCAAGGGTTTGGGAAATCTTATTTATCTGAAACTGGGCTAGAGATTTTGTAGTTCTTGATATGACCAATGCCAGTGCTGGCTATGTCAACTTTTTCCTATTTTGCTGGATTCTAATAGCCCTATTACATGATCAGGGAGTCAAGAATATAATAAAAAAAAACATATTCTATCTTTCTTGCATGAAATTGTAAATAATATGGATAGAGTTTTCCAAATATATAGCTTTCATACCATCATTTAATGTTATTAGCAGAAACATGGTCTGAATGTTTTAACAATAGAAATCCCTGTGTTGCATTTTCAGGGGAATTTTGATTACAATAATTTTTATTAAAGAAAAACATTAAGGAATTTGATTGATTTTTCCTTAGGTGATTAAGGCTGTTGAAGAAGGTTATCGTTTGCCAAGTCCCATGGACTGCCCAGCTGCTCTCTATCAGTTAATGTTAGATTGCTGGCAGAAGGACCGAAATAGCAGGCCCAAATTTGATGAAATAGTTTGCATACTGGAAAAGCTCATTCGGAATCCTAGTAGCCTGAAAACATTGGTGAACACATCAAGCAGGTATAAAATCAAATTTATGCCATGTTCTCTTTCTATCATTAATGCTAAGTCTCTCCGTTTTTTATTATTGTCAAAATACAAACTATTTTTCTAATTTGGAAAAAGGTGGTACACAAGTAGCTACCATCCGTTGTTTCATATTTTGTTGTTCTGAAACAGAAATGGAGAATTTAGAAAACATGAACTAGTGTAGGCTCCCAGAACCTTAAGGCAAATTTCAACAGCATTTTTTCTGTCTTGAAAATGAAATGAAAGTTAAACTAAATGAATAAATATTTCACTACTTTTAATATGTGTATTTTGCTTTTTGAAAACAAATTTATTTAAAAGAATCCATTGTCTATGGTGATTCTCAGTCATCCAGATCATGGTTGTCCCAAAGGTGCTTTTCCAAGAGGCAACTGGACTTTCTGGTTTTTCTTTTCTTGTTTCAAAGAAAAACCAGAAAGTCCAGTTGCCTCTTGGAAAAGCACTTTTGGGACAAAAGAATCTATTGTTTTTGCTTTTGCATGTGGCATATATACAAAACCGGCCAATTTTAAGGAGTTATTGAAAATCCCTATGATTTATTTCAGAAAAAAACATTTATTGTAATATATTTTGACAATAATTGCGAAAATAATGCGGGAAAATCTGCCACACCTGTTTTTAAGCTTTGTAAAAAAAATAATAAAGACCAAATATTTTTAATTATTCTCTATAATATGATCTCTATGTTATTTCCTTTCTTTCTTTCTGCCACTCTTCCTTTTCTATATTTTCCTACTCAAAACATTCCAAGATGGCACTCTCGCTGTATCAGCTAATCATTGTTCTTCAATAAATTTTATCACCTGAATTTTGCCATTTGGTATAAGTTCTTCAGAAAATTGACAACTCTGGCCACAAATCCAGTGATGATATTATTTAAATAAATGAGATTAGAAATTCATAATAATTTATGTCAGTATCTACATCACCTGTATCCATCAAATAGAACACACTGTATAATGAAGATGTGCTACATTTATTTTGATGGTTGATTAATTATTTTATTACATTCATAAGCTTTCTGAATTTTAAGAATTCTAGAAGATTATAGGATTGATGGCAGTAGACTCAATGTAATAGCATCTGTTTCTGCAGCTTTGAAAAGAAACACACAAAATATAAAACCCAGAAAGCTCCTTATATAAATTATGTATGTAAGACCGATCTAGCTCTCTGCCTGTTTCATAAATCCTCACTGTCCCTTTGCAAAGTTTTTGATAGGCTAAATTGTGAGTAAATCACATCACTCACTCTTCATGTTGCCTATATATTAGCCAGTTATGAAAATCAGCTGCTAATATTACACTATCACCATATTATAATTTTAATGGGTTAATTCTTTTGAAAAAGAATACCATCCCAACCCCCTCCCCAAAATAAATCAAAGGTATGAAATCATAAAAATGTTCTAAGCCTGGAGTTGATGTTTGTCATTATTTAAAGAGACCTTTTCTTGTTTTGTGGGTTTTTGTAGCAGAGTATTTTACTCTGGGCTTCCTGTTGACTTAATATTTCTTGCTATTTTTATGCTCTAGGCTTTTTTTAAAAGCAGTCAATAAATTTAAATAATAAATAAATTAGATTTTTAAAATGTGAGTTTAAAAATCGGGCAGAAGGAAATGATGCCTCTTAAAATCGACCTGTAGAATATTTATTTAGCTGTCTATAAAGTAATATAATTGATATAATTCCTAATTGATATAATTAGGAACAAAAACTAATATTGGGCACTACTAGACAACCCTTTTTGCTGGTCTTCCTCCATGTACAATAATCTTACATCCAACTTTTTTTTAAAGATTATGTTAATGTATACCTTGGTTTCTCTTTTAGAATTTCAAATTTATTAGGGGAACACAGCCCACTTGGAAATGGTGTCTACAGATCTGTAGGTGAATGGCTGGAAGCCATCAAAATGGGACGGTACACAGAGATTTTCATGGAAAATGGATACAGTTCCATGGATGCTGTGGCTCAGGTGACACTGGAGTGAGTAGAATTCCTGATCATTTCCACTGATATAAGGGAGAGCACTTTGGGTTGGAAGTCAGTTAACAGTAAAGGTAGAAAACAACTGGAAGCATTTAAGATTTTTTTTTATATTGCAATTTGGCAATGAGGGAAAACTCATTTATATTCTATATAAATGATAGCATATTAGAGATAACATTGATTTGTAGGTATCACAATTGTCGAAAAGATATCATTAGCAACTTTGCACTAATAATTGATCATGTGACTTTGATCATTTCAACAGCATGCCAATTTTGGCATAAGGTGTGTCCTGCTTTTCATATAATAAAGGTACTTTCATCCTAACTGTACATTGTGTAAAGATTTTCAAGGAAAAAAAGTCTTGACTGCAAACATCTCAGAAAAAATTGCAGAGGAATAATCCCACTTCACTGTTATCCAGGATATGGCAACAGGTTCCTGTGCAGAAAATGTAATAATTCTGGAGAAGATCTAATCACTATTATTTTCTCTAGGTTTGCTACCTGCTCAGTAGAGTTATTGTGACTCTTTCGCTCACGTTATCATATTTTCCAATCTTAATTTTTTTCCGAGTGATTTTTCTTTTAACATTTTGAAAAATTGTATATGTATGTATGTGTGTCTGTACATATATATTTATATTCAAAGATATTTTTCAAATTTATTGCATTTTTGTAACATACACATTTTTGTATATTTTTAACCTACATTATAACTGAGAAATTTCAGCATATATAAGTTTCAGTCTATGTCTTGATTTAGGAAATTCAGACTACATAAATTCAGATTAAAATGTGAGCAGAATGAATATTTCCTCTGTCGTTGTGCAGTGATATGAGGCAAGCTTATGTTAAGGGGGGATATATTTCTCCTTTACAAGGACATAGAAATATAGGTAGGCCTCTGCAAGTGAAGAAGCTTTCACTTATCTCTACTTAACTCAGAGACTTGACACATTCCAAAAGTAAAGCCTCGTTTCCTCTCTATGAAATCAGAAAAGGGTCCAATAGGAAAACCTGTGCAGTGAACATCGCTGAGAGAAGAGTTCAAAACCAGAAGAACATTCCTGGCTTTCATTTGAGAGTGACAGTAGCAGGAGGATCACATTTTTGCCCTGCTTCAAACTGACAAAACCTTGATTAAAATGCAGGAAGGTCAGAGGTTTTGACTGATGCATAGCAAGATATGGAATCCTTTCTCTTAAAGGCAACTTTGCCAAAATGACAGTGAGGTGTGGGAAAAGGAACTCACTGTTGGTTGGTTTGTTGGTTTCTTTGTTTGTTTTTACAAAAAATAAATTGTGAAAGTGTTCCTTTCCCCCACCTCCCTAAAATCATAATGAAATTTAACAAATGCCTTCATTTCCTCTGGCTTCTCTGGCTTCCAAACTAAAAAAAAATTGCTTGTCAATGTCATCTATGTTAGGTTGCTTTTTTTAAAAAAAAATGATTTGTATTGTATTGTTGGTCTGCACACACAACCCTTTTAAGCACAACATTCTCTCTTCTTACTGCTCAAGGATGCAAATTAATCCTGGCTCTACGGGAGATCTTCAACAATCTGCTGTTCAGTTAAAAGTATATGGTTTGCTTTATTTATTTATTTGTTTGATTTAACATCAGAGGACTTCTTCTCAGCAGCAGAATGAAAATTAGGACACAAAACATCTCCCTGCTTATATTTTAAACTGTGGAATATGATGAATGTGTCATAGCTCCCTGGCTGTGCTTGAATACTTCATCTTCCCTGAACCTGCGTCAGCTTTCTCAATATTTTCCATTTGTTTCTAGAGTCTATTTTATTGGATAATGTCAGATCCAGTTCTGACTATATGTCTAATAACAGTAGTCAATTTTAACAATGAAGATATAGTACCGCTAGGGTTTATAAAGCATCAAACATAGAAACAAAATCTACTTTTAGAAAATGTCTTAACTATGAAAAGGAAATAAGAAAAATAGGTTGAATTTTCAGAATTCCTGCACTGGTGTTATAAATTTGGATTTCCCTGATATTCTGTTTGTCTGTTGTGTATGTATCAATCCGTATAAGAATTTAAGTCAGGTATGTCCTGTATGTTTACAAGTATTTTTCTGTTTCAATCTCATGAAATATAAAAGATTGGATATTTGCACTTATGTTAAATAATATGGACATTAATTTGTGCCTTATCACTTATTATACTAATTATTAATTTATTTAGCATTTATTATAATTTTGATTGTGGATGTCATGTTTTCCCTTCAATTATATAAAAATGTTATTTTTAAAACATCATGCCCCAGAAATAATTTCATTTTTTTTTACTTGTCATATTGTACAAATTAACACAAGTACACAATATTAATCAAATTTTAAAGGGATTTTGGCTCTTTAAAACAAAAATAGATTTACAAGTAGAAGTGCTTAAAACCAGGTGGAATATATTATCCCTTAACTGAGTTAAACATGTCAAATAAAGTTCTCTGCTATTTTTAGTGAAGTTTTCATCCTCAGGTTTTAATGCTTTATTTAAAATCTAATTCAGTTGATTTCAGGTTCCATGCGGTGTGTGTGTGTGTATATATATATATAGGTCTTTGTGGCGACGTTTCGACGAAGTCTCATTCGTCATCTTCAGGCTGGTGTTCTCGGCTTCGTGCTTCCAGGAGCAATGTGAGATCGCAGCTGTCTCTTCCTTTTAACTGCTAGTGGGGGTGTGAGCTGATTGGGTGGGAACTTGGCTGTGTTCTGATTGGGTGGAGGTGTGTTCTGATTGGTTAGGGGCTTGGCTGTGCTCTGATTGGCTGGGGGTGTTTTCTGTTTGGGTGGGGGGCTTGGTTGTGCTCAGCTTAGTCTGAGTTGCAGGGGGATTTGAGCTGGTGAGCTGCGTTGTTGTTGTTTGGCTTCGTGTTTGTGGCCGTGCGAGCTCTTCATGGTGGGTGTCAGTCTGCTTCATGTATGGATTGGAGGGGTTTAAAGTGGCTAATGATGCAGCTGCGGTCTGGCTTCTGGTCCTTGGTCGTGGCTCATTATCAGTGTGGGTTTGAGTCTGCTTTCTGCGTGGATGTGTGGTGGTGACATCAGGTGTGGCACTCGTGAGTGTGGGTCTGGTGTCATTTGTCGTGTTAGGGACTCGTTTGTCAATGAGGGCAGGTTTCCAAATGGCTGGTAGGCGGGAGGTATCGTCTCGTTTGTTCATGCTGTGTGGGCGTTTTTCTATCTCGATGGCTTCTCTGATTATTGTTATTACAATAATAATTATTATTATTACAACAACGCAGCTCACCAGCTCAAATCCCCCTGCAACTCAGACTAAGCTGAGCACAACCAAGCCCCCACCCAAACAGAAAACACCCCCAGCCAATCAGAGCACAGCCAAGCCCCTAACCAATCAGAACACACCTCCACCCAATCAGAACACAGCCAAGTTCCCACCCAATCAGCTCACACCCCCACTAGCAGTTAAAAGGAAGAGACAGCTGCGATCTCACATTGCTCCTGGAAGGACGAAGCCGAGAACACCAGCCTGAAGATGACGAATGAGACTTCGTCGAAACGTCGCCAAGACACTTCCAATTTTACGTGGGAGAAGACCCGAATAACCAAAGACCTATATACAAACACCCACGAAAACCTGAGAAAACATATATATATACACACACACACACACACACACACACACACACACACACATACATGATGATTGTAAAGGTATTCATACTAGTGGAATTTTCTATGAGATTAGAGTCAGAATCATGCAGAAAAGATAACTGTTAAAATGAATATTAAACAAAAGATATCATTAAGCTATAGATTATGTGTTACAGAGGCTGAAGGTTTATTTCTTCCACATTCTGCTTTTCTCCAACCCAGTGCCTTTGAAATTGTATCTACAAATTCCAGAATTCTGAGACCTATAGTTTTCTGTGTGCAGGCCTTAGGAGCTTTAGAAAGGAATTTTTGATGTACTCAAGCAAATTATAATTTCAGAATTCTTGGTGAAAGCCAAGAATATTACATTTGTATTGTATAAATGTGGTCTAATAGAAATTAGATTGTTGATATCATCCAAGTAGAAAATTAAGATAAGATTTGGACTGGGTTGGGCTGAATAGTTATAGAATGAAGATTTCAGATATCTCTTTCTCCATATTTGTATCACCTGTTTTTATAGACTCCCCATAAATATCTCAGAATTTACTGAAAAATATTTTTTTCTTTTTTTATTTTCTACACTAGATATATAATAAAATAAATATTGTATGGAAACTATTCATAGATAAAATATTAGGATTGCATCATTCTGCTAATACATCTCAAACGCTTCTGTCCATAAAGCCATAAGAATGAAAGGGATTTGTTATGCTACCTTACATTAAAGTTCTGGCTCTGACAAACTTCTAAATGAGAAAGAGTGTTCAGATGATCCTTCTTCAGACTGCCATAAATTTCACATTTTTAATGTTCCTGTCTTAAATTCCCTGAAAATGGAGTATAAGCATTTCACAGAAAAGGGATGCTTAGCATCTTCTTCTTGCTCAAGTTTTATAGTCACCAAGGTTACCCTTTTCCACTTGAAATGTTACAGACTCTTCTATCTCAACAGCCTTCTGCATATATAAACCAGGCCCCATTTTAAGTTAAGCTTCTTGGAAACCAGAGTCAAAGGTGACCAAGGGCATGCACTTCTTGCTCAGCTTTTGTGCAAAAAATGTGTATATTTCTGACAACTGATTCCTATATTGAGAATAGGATTGGACCTAATGCCCAAAATGTCCCCTTCCAATTCTATGATTCTATGAATTCTGGAAAGATTTGAAAGCAATGTCTTCCTCCTTTCACTCATTTTGGAGGCTAGTTCATTGTAGAAGAATTTTTACCTCGTCAGATTGAGTAGCAGTTGAGTATATCTGGCATCTTACATTAAGCCAACCATCCATCCAGTTTAAAAACAAACCATCAAAACATTCCTAGGTGATTTATTATTACCAACTGTATCTTTAATTTGTTCCATCCATTATTCCTATCATAAATAATTTCAGTTTTTAAAATATGCTTTAATTTTTATTGCTGGGAAAATCCATGAAGTCCACTTGAGACATTAAAATATAAGATAAAACAGATAAATCAAAGCTCACTTATATACTTTCTGAATCACAGTTTATATTTGTAAATAAATTGGCTATGAGAATTTATTTGAAGCCTGACTGGATTATTTGATATAGACAAAACATTCATCTACTTGATTAATAAAGTTTCTATATTATTGTATTTTTATACTTTTCGGTCCATATGTGTATGTGTAAAACACATTTTCATGTATAGATACTGAAAGACCAAAGCAAAATTACTTTTAATCAATTGATAAGTCAATCTTTATTGTAAATGTAAATTTGCAAACAAAAAAACCCCCTCAACTATTGCAACAAAAGAAAATATATACAATAAAAACTCAATCTTATTAATAAATGAGTAATTGTTTCATTTCATATAATTGCAACATCTTCTGGATTAGTCAGTTTCTATGAAGAAACCAGTAGATTATATAGCTCTACTTGTCATAGAATCATAGAGTTGGGAAAGTACATTAGGCCAATAGGCCATTAACTCTAAATCCTTGGTCACAATGAAGATTTTAAAGATTTAAAAAAAAACAAAAAAAAAACTTCCAAATGGCTGATTAACCTATATTTGAAATCATCATGTTAAACTGAATCTCTTATTGAATTTCTCAAATATTTCCTAGAACAAAAGAAATCATGACAATTTACTCTGAATGTTATTAAGGATAAATGTTTAGCAGCAGCTTCAAGAAAAAGTATGGGGTCTTTAAAAGTTTCAAATTATTTATAACAACTGAAATCCTGAGAACATGTTTGGATAGAAAATATGCATCTTTATTCTAAACCCTAAGTACAGTAATTTTCAATTTTCCAGAAAACAAAAGATTGTGGTTAACTATTTAGAAGAAGAAAGAAAGATGGAAAATGTCTGGATTTAAATTGTTTAACATACTTACCAGGGTTGAGTATTCATATTGTTCCAGAGCTGGGACTTGGGGAGATCAGATAAAATCAAAACTCAGAACTTTAAAATAGATTTCACCATTCAACATTATTTAAAATTCATTATTTGGTTTTGCTGGTTTCCCAGGACTTTTATCTTGAAATTTGAGCCCAGGCAAGAAGAAGGTTACATAGAATAATAATCTTATTATTACAAATGAGGATCTCAGTCTTTGCGAAAGCAAGCCATTCTGTTTAAGCAAGAAAGATAATGCCTCTGTACCAAGATTTTTAAGATTGTATGGCAGTTTGAGTGGCAAACTCTAAGTGTGAATGGCAAACTTAAGATTCCTTCAAAGGAATACATAATGACTTTTTAGAGTTGTTTTAAATTATCCTCAATCTGAAAAACTTGGTGACTTTCTTTCAGTTATCATTAATAAGCTTACCAGCTAGCAAGGTCTTTCTCAAAGGCATATTCTCAAAAGTGATGTCTTTTGAATGTAACATTCTTTTTAAAAAATGGATCCCATAGCAGTTGCCCCAAGTCCTGTGCTCTGTTCCAGATCCTTCTTCAATGACCTGACAACCAGTATGTTCTAATATTATTGTTGCCATGTAGTTCTAATTCTAGTGAGAGATGGATCCCGTTTTCTACCCGTGCTTCCATCTGGATTATCAGACTGTTCTCACAGAAAAAAGAGCAACTATTTCTAGATTTATGGACAATCTGATGATTTTGAGTGCCAGAACAACCCTCAAGAATAGCTAAGTTATGAAACTGGCCTCTTAAATTGCATACTTGACTGGACTTTAATGGCTAACAACAAAAGGTGGACTTCATCACATCTCCCTTTTGAAAGATACATACTGAATCTCAGGATACCTTGTTGCTTTTCATCCAGTGGACGGCTCTGAAAATTTATAAATATGTGTGGGTGTTGTGATGTGTTACATTGTAATTGTTTTATTTTTCTTTTAAAATAAATGTTTGTTTTTAATAAAAACAAAGTCCCTTTATGGAAAAAAATATCAGGAATTCACCGGCTCTTGCTTTTTAACCTTATTCTTCATCTGCTGACATGTATATATTTGAAAATCAATTATCATATCATGGCTTCTTTTGGAAAGGATAAACAACAAGAGCAGATGAACGCTTTATGTCCTCCACAAGAATTGAAAACTTAATTAACTGAACTGTCTCACATACTCTATGAGCATTTATGAACATATCAAATGCTATCCTTCCAGGTACAAGAACTCCATGCTTTTCAAATCTGCCTGAAG